AAGTACATTGACATCTGTTGGCCCAAGGCCACCTGGTCAGCTAAAGCTCCAGGGCAAATGAACCATTCTGAGACAGAATGTGGATGGTGTGATGTCACAAAGGGGGTTTGGAGTTCCCTTACTGGCACTGACATGTCTGTTTGCTGTGCCAAGCCGAAGTGTGGTGTAAACACTGCCCACACTCAATTTGCAGAGATCTACCATCCTCAGGAAGGATGTGATCTGATCATGCATTCAAGACAGAGCTGGGAGAGTGAACCTTGCAAAATGTATGACTGACCCTTAAAGCAATAGAGGATCAAGGTTTAATCTGTGCATTATTCTTGGTGATGGATGGAGCTTCTCAAATTCACTGGAATGGCTGAAATAACAGCAATATATACATGAAAACATTCAGACAGATGCATTTCTGCATATGACCTGGCTATTAGCTATTGAAGAAAAGGTGTAAACGTTCACCTAGGCAACTGTTTGTTGACTTTGTGTCAGCCTTGAAATGCTCACCGTGTATGGAACCTGGCAATAAAGCTTTCATTTCCATTTAAAATTAATTAATCTTCTGGCGTGGGAGGTCAGATGGAATTTTTAAAATTATATTGTGGGTGGGAGGGGGGGGGGGGCAATGCAGTCATAGCATTGGCATGCATCACATAGCACATATTGGAGTCAAGGCATATACCTGTAAGCAGAGGTTGTCATTTCAGGTCCAGAGACTGAAGATCAAGGCCAGACCAAGTTTTTGTTTCAACCAACAAGTTGAATATAATCAGTTACAGTCACATAGGACTCAACTGGTTGGTTGAAACAAAAACCTGGTCTGGATTTTTCCTTTCTGGACCTGAAGTCTCCACCTTTGCATACAAGACATGTGTGGACCAAGGTGTCCATTTGTTTGATTAACAATGCAAGCAAAGTGAGGGGAGCATCAGAGTGGATCATGACATTTCAAAGGTATGGGGTTCCTCCAAACTCATCCTGGGAATTCACAATCCTGCCTGCATGACTCATTTGGGAAACATGTAGAAGGAATCCCATTGCCGGCATGCCAAACAAGCCCCCTATGAAAAGGCCATCATGGCTTCTCCACTTTGCGGCTCCTTCATCCCATTTACCAATACAGAAATGGCCATCAGACACAGACATGTTTTATACTGAGAAATCAGTGCCATGAAAGGCAGTTTTAAAATTCTTCTGACTCCTGAGATGGGAGGGTTTTGAGGGAAATAAAAATGAATAGTTATATTTCATGTGCACTGCCCCCTATATTCAGCAGTAATAGTAGTGTCGAGCTCTGGCGGGGTCATTGTGAGTCATGAAGCAGGATTGAGTACGTGGGACATAACAGGTACCCTGAACAGACACATAGGGACGGCCGACCTTCTGGGTTGGGGCGGATTCCATCTCCGGCTGAGACGTCAGCAGTGAAAATGAGACTTACCACGTTGTTAGATGCAGCCTGGTCAGAGTTTGTTTTCCTGAACCCTGCCAGACATTCTGCTTCCTGTCACGTTTGTTGGGCTCAGGAAGACCGGTGTCTGTAAAGGAGCTGGGCTTTGATCGGGCCGCATGGGTGCTATCAGTGGATATATGCAGTGCAATACAATGACTTCCGAACGAGCAGCTCTCCAGGAATCGGCTGATTTCACAGTCTGCGGGTTGTTGGCGATGTGTAAAAATGGTGCAAGGTAAATATCTCCGGAGAAGCTTTAATTATG